GATGTTTTATTCAACATGCTTTGTTGAGGCATTGGTGAATCTATATGACGCTCCACGTTTGAATCATTACTGTTTAAATTATTAGACGTCCCTGGCTGGGATTTAATCTCTTCGTTAGTGGCATTAATCGACGGATGCTGTACGTCTTGTACATTTAACGCCTTTTCCTTATTCTGCTTACACGATTTGGCATCAGAATTTTTTTTCGATATGTATTTTTTAGCTCTAATCCAATCTCTAACATTCTTAGAAGATGGTGGTTCCATAAGTGGTTTAATCGTTAACGAATTATATCCTGCAAGCGTCCGTTTGATATGATAAGATTTTATATTCGCTCCAGATGGATAAAATTCATTGACTTTCATTCTTCGCCACAGTTTAATACTCGTTACTTCTTCCAGACTAGATTTAAACGCGGGTTCGTCGAAATATGGAGCGTTAGTATTCGAGGATTCTTTCTGTTTCGCAAGATCGAGTTTGTTGCCGAAAAACGGTTTTTGCGATCTACATTTCGGAATGCCGTACATCGTCATACTTTCCAGAATCCTTCTAGGACTAGGAGGCTTGTACTTCGTAGTAATTGTAATTATTGCATTTTTCGATGAACGACGAGCCCTCCGCTCCGACGACGAACTTTGACTGTCGCTCTCTATCTTTTGGTTGAGATGTTGGGTGAAAATTATGTTACATACATCTTCTTCATCGTCATCTAGATCAGTTTCAGGAATAACGTCACTATGAGTTTTTATAAACTTCTTTGCCAAGTTTCGTATGTCTGACGCATAGTTTCTTTCGGGAGACACATAATTAATACTTTTTTCTGTACATTGACTGTTTGGGACACTATCATCACTGTTTGCATTGCTAGAGATAAGTGTAGTTGCCTCTGCATATACTTGATTACTTGAATGCCCAAGTGCGATTAAAGTTTCAGATTGATTCTTGTTATGATCTGATTCTATAAAAATATCTTCTTCATAATCCAAGAAGGACAATCTTTTACGAACCTCTTTATTCGTTTTAATCAATGATTTTTCACTGCTTTCTGTTCCCTTTTGGTGATCTTGTATTGATTCGTGAATCGTTGTTTTAATTTTAATATTGCTACAAATATACACACATATTAAAAAATTACTTAAATGATTTAAATAATTAAAATTTTTTAACTATACAAAATATGCAGATCTTACACATTATCTATTTCATTATTAATATCGTTATCAGTACCATTATTTTCTGAAAAAGAAAGAAGTCTTTTATTTATATAAAAAATAGTAAAAACCTATATTATTATTAATAAAATGTCACTATTAAATCGGAAGAATGGTATGTTATTTCCATAAAAAATTAATTTCCAATAAAGCTACTTGAATTACAATATGAATTTAGATCAATGGGAATAAATCTAATTAAATAAAAGAATTCCTATTCGGTTAAAACGGATCTACTTGAATTACCTAGTTCAGAGTTAAACAATTTTTCACGAAGCAAGCTCACACGTAACGGACGTTTTTTGTGTTTTGGTGTAGTAGAAGTTGAAGGAATATCAGTTGTCGGTACGTATTGATTTCTTTTTGGAGATTCGCATTGTCGAACAGGACTTTTACTGGATTTCGGAGATGTAATAGTAATATTAAGAGGCGAGTAATTTCCTGACAACTGTGGACTTCGAGACGCCTTGCTTGGAGAATTATATTTTCTTTTTGGCGTTTTAGCCACGTTTCTTCGTTTATTGGATGACTCATGATCGTCGTCTTGAGAATCAAATTTCCTTTTCTTCGGAGTAATTTGAACTATATTTTGTGGTGTGTTCTTTTTATCAGATTTATAAGTGCACACGCGTTCTTCTTGTTTTTCAATTGTCACATCAGCTTCGGATTCAGCATCGCTCGAGTCAGCTGTAGCCCCATCGACATTCGATATTGTAAAGTTTACTGAAAAATCATACAGTTCATGATAAAAGTGATGATTGCTATTTAAAAGGCCTTCTTCTTGAATACACGATTTAAATTCTTGTTCACAATTACACTTGTTTTCTTCATCATTTGTTATATAATTGACATGTTCCATGGTTTCAAATGTTTCTATCTCATCTATATCATAAACATCCAAGTCCTGATGCTCTAGTTGTAACTGCCATCGAGTAACATATAATTCTTCTTCTATCTTCTTATTATGTACAATCCTTTTTCTATTGTATTTTAAATAACGTTTCTTTCTTGCGACAAAACTTATATCAGTATGCGGATGTTTTACATTTATGCCCCACAGATGTTTGCTTGTTTTAAAAAATATATAAAAATAATATCTATTTACAAAGTTGTATAATTCTTTTCTTAAATGATATCTATTAGGATTATTTACATTTATATATTTAATAATATCCATTAAATTAAAATTTCTATATAAAGTACACATGGCATAATCTTTTCTCGCATTAATGACAGAAACATAGTTATTTCTAGAATTTTTAGTTATTATTTTAGGAAGGCACTGAACTGCCATACAACATGCTATATCATCTTTATTACTCAAACTATTTGTAGTTTCTTGATGTTTTGATACGATCTCATATAAATCATCAACTCCATCAACTTGTGGAAAATTCACGAGCGTGACATCACCATCATTTTCTTCAGTAACGTTTGATTCATCTGCAGATTCAATGTTCTGCTTATTATCTACAACTTTTATTGTATTGTCATGTTGACTGGATCTCTGATTGTACACTGATTCCCAAGAACTTAGATCTAGATCAAAACTTGTGATATTTAAATCCTCAATCTCTTCTTCCTCTGGATCATCCTTAATCCGTTCGTTGAACATAGAATATTGAGACCCAAGAACGCTATCGTCATCTACATTACTCGCAATCTCATTTTCTTCCGCTAAATCAGCTAGCATATCTATCAGTTGTATATCATCTGCATCCACTATGTACAAAACAGATTTTATTTTTACTTTAGATTTTTTTTTTGTAAATATATATTTTTATAATGCACTCAGTAATGTGAATAGAACATACTTACAAAAACTAGTATCTGTCATATTACTTTGACTTCGAGTTGCGTCTAAAAACGCTGACGATGCCAATTGCAACAATTTACAATTATCAGAAATTGTTCTTTCAAGATTTTCTTCAGATACAAGAGATTCGCTATGATTTAGAATATGAGATGCATTTAAGACATTTTTATTATCTTCTACTTCAATAGGATATGAAGATACCATCGTATTTGAAGTAATTGTCTCGTTGATCTAAAATAAAAGAATTAAATCGAATTAATATACATGTATTAATTATATTATCATAATCTAATGGAAACAATGTATGAAATACTTGTGATATAGCATTCAGTCTTTTTAATAATTGATCCTTTTGATAAACATCATTGCTAGTTGGTGGTAAAATAACTTTGCTCGGGGTTTTGGGATATAATAATTGCGACTTTGCATTTTCTAGACCAGCTTCGGCCCTTCTTGCTTTCTCTTCATTCCAAATCGCAGCAAGACCAGGATTCAGCTCTAATTTTTCATTGACACTTTGTCTATTCAGAATCCCTGAAGCGTGCACATCCACTTCCAACTCGCACATGCTTTGCCTTGTTATTGATACCGGAAGGTATGCTTCTGACTCTAGAAAATCCATTGACGATCTGCTTTGGCTATCTTCTGTTGCACATCCTTGCAAAGAGTGTCTGTATTTTACGCTATTTAAATTGATTAAATTCATGCCATAGAGATTGTAATCTATCATAAATTGTAGAATATATGGAATGTGTGCCTCATATGGCTGCAGAGTTTGATTGAGAACAACACCATTCTGAAAAGAAGTTTGTTTCACATTGTTCAATATCTTCCCCTTAAAATTGCATACAGTACTACATACATGATTATATCTTTTGCGCAAAAAAATAAAGTAGAATTATTTACCTGCAGCAAATCTGCCGTCCTTTTAATTATGGCTGGATTATAAAAATATATTTTAAAAAACAAATGTTCTTTCTCATGATAACCATAGAAAGGTCTACAAAGTAACATACATATTACGCAATAAATAAAACAATAAATAAATGAAGAAATATAAATATCTTTCTTCTATTAAAAATAAAAGATTCTGATTTAAATTTTGCTTACATTCCTGATACTCGTTGAATTTTGTACACATGTTGGTTGGTAGATAAAGTGGAACCAAAAGATGTATTGAGTGCAGAATCAATCGCTGCAGCTAGTTGATAAGCATAACTATCTGTATTCTCTTGGACAGTGCATGGGACATATAGGTATGGAAAGACACCGTGAATATGCAAGCATGTCTTCTTTCCTGGAAACCGTCAAACTTTATAAATGACAAAACTTTTTGATAACAGCTTAGCATAATCTGTAACATATTATGAACATAGATTATCTGCTATTTTTGTTCATTTACCTGTGGCAGTTGAGCCGAATGCTCTGATTACCGGTACTTTTTTTACTTCGGAGCCACGAAACTCTGAGAATGTCACATCCAACTCGGGTATCGGAGATGACTGATAACTATCAATATTTACCAAAGTGATGGAAAGCATGTTCTGCAATGAGAATATGTATAACGATTACAAATAAATATACTTAAAATAAAACAGCGTAATAGTATTCTGGTAAAAAGAATAACGAGTCTCCGCTTACGAAATGCAGATCATTGAGAATCGAAACACGTGCGTGTTGGTTCGACGATATAAACAAACAGAATAAGATAAATGTCCCTATTTGTGACTATGACCCTATTTGTGACCACTCGTGGACTTTTATTAAATTAATCAGAAGTTTTAAGTAATTTATCTTTGCAAAGGGTATTTATCACGTTTAGCGATTAATTAGCCATGGTTTGATATATGGTTTCAGTAATATTTGACTAACAAATATTCATGAAAATGTGAAATAAGGTGCTCGTGTCTCCACCAGTGACAGATTTTCGCACATGTTGTCGCCATGTTAGTAGATAGTTTGTCACAGTCACAGCGCCGTCACATTTTTGTTATCGTTCAGGATAAAACGTCGTCTGGGATTAAGATTTTTCGTAAAAGTGTCAGTGAATATTTAATAAATATTGTGCTATGTGTAAATTCTAAAAAAGGTCAGTAATTTTGAATATATAAGCTGCTTTCCATTTACACCGATTCTTAGATAATTCTCACTTGTGACGTCATAACTCAGTTGAATGCGCGTTTCTTTTGCATTCTGACAAGTGAGATTCAACTGAGTTTTGAACCATAATCTGCACAAGATCGAAACCGTGTGCTTTAGTGAGTCTCGTAAACTCACTTCAAAGTGAGGTTATGAACCTGTGTTGATATGTGATAACTTTTTACCAAAGTAAACAAGTAGTGACGTCATTAATCTGAGTATAAAATACTCAGCTCACTTCAGATTCAGTTTCACTTGTGTGTAAATGGAAAGCAACT